CAATCAACCAAGGACAAACACAAACTCTCTCCGCCATGGGAAGGACCCTATATGGTGACCGAGGTGATTTGACCAGGCACCTACCAACTAAAGGACGACAACGGCGATGTTCTCACCAACACTTGGAACATAGAACAGTTATGTCGTTTCTTCCCATAAAAATTCGGTCTTACCGCTTTCTTTTATTCAACGTTTGCTCCTACAAGCACCCCGGCCCGAACACTTTCGGCCTGGATCGCTCGGGGGCTCCACGGGGGTTTGAAACCACCTCTCTTTTACTATCATATAGTAAATACTTTTTACTCGAACGAAAGGGTAGTCCATTCCATTAATTACCCTATGTAACTTTGTTTTAAACTCCCGACCGATCACACCCGGCCACGACCTACGGTTACGAGCGGCTAAGCCTCGCGGGCCATGCCCGGGTTCTTAAGGTTGCAACCTACAGGTCAAACGGGCAGGTGCGTAAAAGAAAGGATAAAAAATAGAGCTATGCTAGGGTAAAAACAAAGAACAGATGGGACAAGCTTTCCCTTACGAATTGATTCATCACAAAACAAAATTGATGTATTCATGAATACAAATTGTTCACACGGGGGCTTCCCCACGAACTTATCCTTTACATATGCTAATTACTTCTACTCTAAATACTACTGTGGCCACCCGGCGACATCGGCTGATGGCGCGACCAGCAAGGATAAGGGCTGCTCGCTCTCCGGTAGAACAACGTTTGGCTCGGTCGGAGGAGGGACGATGCCCGCTTCCGACCCAGCCTCCACTCCATCCGCAGGCTGGGTGACATCTTCTTGACGCGCGCCTTCAGCCACGCTCGCATGGTGAGCCCCCATCACCCACTATATAGAGACATTCTCGGGCACCATCTGTGAGCATGGCATCAAGCTCTCCCCGAGCGCATGGATGGCTTCCGTGCTCCAGCCATCAGCGTACCCGCTGTAGATGATGGCAAAGTCTAGGGCCGGGTGGTGCGTCGCCACTGAGGTCAGCACCCCTGATGTCCCGTAGAACATCCCATCGGTGATGAGCGCCCGAACCTCATTCGGGACCTCCGCCAGCTGGACTGCGGGCGGGCTGGTGCTCAATGCCGACCCGAACACCTCTGAAAAGATGACCTAGGCGATGTTGCGGATCTAGTCGAGCTCCCCCTCGAGAGCACGTCGCTCTTCAAGGGACTTGGCCAGCGCCTCTGAGCTCCGACCGATCACCGCCTTAGCCGTCTCCAGCTCCCGTTCTAGGGATCCAAGTTTGCCGCCCAGTTCTAGAAAAAGGACGACAAGTTCAGAAGCAAAGGAAGGGAAAAACTAAGGCATCAACCAAAGGCGAAACGGATACATACCGAGGCGGGTGCCTTCAAGGATGGAGAGCCCTTCTTCTTGCTATGTGACCATCTCGAGCAGTCGAGCGTTCGACTCCTCCAGCCCAAGCACCCGCCCCCGGAGCGCGAGCACTTCCTGGTCCACCTTCGACCGAGCCTTCCGCTCTGTCTCCAGAGTCTCCAAAGACTCCTAGAGCCCCGCCTCGGTCTCCACCAACTGAACCTTTGCCGCCTCAGTCTCCGACAGTTGGACCATCACCGCCGCAAGTCCCCGCTCAGCAACGGTCGCCCGTTCCGCAGCGAGAAGCTCCGCCACCCGTGCTCCCATCGCTTCGGCCGCCCGATCTTGTGATTCGTGGTAGGCGGATTCCAGCTAGCACTCAAGCTCAGCGACCCACCATGTCATCGCGGCTTCCCGCTCCATCCGACCATGCTCCTCCCAGAGGAAACGGGACTTGCGGATCGATGTCGCCTCCAACTCCTGTAAAGCAAGAGGCAAGCATGTTGAAACAAGCAATAGAAGACCAAGGAGTCAAAGGAGAAAATGCTAAAAAAAGCAGAAGGCTTACCTCGGCGATGCATGGCAGGTCAACTGAGACCGCCTAATGGACGAGCTCCACCCGCTCCAATGCCTCCTTGAGCTTCGCCTTGGCTTGGGCGAGGTCGGACTCCATCGACAGTCCGCTCTCCTCCAGGAAGTGCTAGAGAGCCACCTCCTCCCTATCGCGAAGGACGAACCGAGCCATCCTCGGGTCGCTGGGGTAGGGCCACACTAGCTCGCGAACCGCCCCCAACCTACTAGAAGGTCCAGCCACTATAGCAGCATGCGACGACCAGACCACCGCAAGCTCCTACGATGGCGGGAGGGATGGTGGCTCCACCCTAGAGCTTGCCTTGCTGGAGCAAGGGATCTCCTCTATCTCGACTCCACGGCTCGCCGACAGATGTTCTCCCTCTGGCCTAGCCGTGTCTCCTCCCGACACCTCCAGCTCCGACCAGGAGGGCGAGCCGTGCATCCGTCCGCCGGGCGAGGCAGGGAGCCCGGTCTCCCTCCTCTCTTCCGCCGTGGCCTACGTGGGAGGGATCGCGAGGGTCACCTCTGACCCAGCCTCCGCCGTTGCTATCAGGATCGCTGCCATCACTACTGCTGCCGCTGCCGCCAAACCCACGACCGGCCAGGAGGGCGCAACCCCCAGAGGGGATGGTCGTACCGCCGCCAGCCTGCATTCCCCACCGCTCATCGCGACTCGCTGCAGGCTAGGTCACCACTCCCCCCGCATGGGAGGCGGGGCGATGCTCAATCCCATCAGTATCTAGCCGCTGTCAAAAAAGTACAGGTCGGTCGCACTAAAAAAACTAAAACTATGAGATCAAAAAGAAACAAAGGATGCATACCTAGATGAAAGCAGCAGGGCCCTAAAGCCCTGAACCGCTGGCGACAGGCCTGCCAGACGAGGACCACTCGTGGGCCGCGACACACACCCCCTCACATCGACCAAGGAAGGTGCTGACCCGGTCGGTTCCCGACTGGCCCGCGAGTCTCCCCGCCCACCAGCTCGTGGCGTGCCCACCGGAGAAGCTAGCGGGGCATCCCCCCATTGAGCGTCGCGCGCACGCGCCGACCCCGTAGATGCGGGGGTGCGAGCCCACTCCTTAGACTGGCCGGCCAGCCCCGCCACGCTTGGAGCAGGGGGGCGATGCTAGTGATGCCTCTGGAGGCCGCGGCGACCGCGTCCGCTTCGCCTCCCGCTCAACGATAGCGTCCAAGCTCACGGCGCGCTTCCTTAATGCAGGAATGTCGCTGCACCTCTCCGCATCCTGCCCACCACCGGTAGACACAGCCGCAGGCTCGCGACACTCCACTGAGGTCGCAACGACGTCCCGGTCTCCTTCATCTTCGGAGGTGCTCACGTCACCGCCCAGCTCCCTGGGCTCCTCCGACTCAAGCTCCGCCTCCACGTCGCTCCGATTTTCGCTGGCCCACACCCGTCGGGCGATCTCCATCTCCTTCCCGTGCCTCCTCCGAGCCTTCTCAACTCTCTTCTTCTTCTTCACGACCGCCACCTCCTTCAGGGCAGGTTGCCGAGCCACGCCCTCTAGCCCCTTCGGAAGATGAGGCCGGGATTTATAACCGGCGAGTCCCTACGAGACGGATGACTTGAAGTCAAATTATAGGAGAGCAAGATCGAAAGGGACACGGAACAAGGAGAGGAGAACGTACCAGAAATAATAGCTTTAAAATTTTTGAACTAGCCACCATAAGATATTTATGAGCACCACTATCAACAATATAAAAAGTCGGTACAGATATATAACGACTGACCAGAACTCGATGAAACAGCCTATATACCAACATATAAGGAGAAGTTAAAGATGGGTTGTGGTATAGTGATATATATGATTTTTGAAAAAAAAATGAAAGTAGTTTGATAAATTCTAAGCTAAAACAATTTTCTATGATTTTTCTTATATTAAACTAGATTTGGGATTTTAAATCGTAAAAATTTTCTAGAAAAAAACATGTAATATTTTTTTTAAAAAAATATCTGTAGTCTGAATTACCCCTGAACCACGAAGTCTGATCTACTGTACACTCTTGTAGTTGACGTGACGTGACACAGCTGACGTGATGTTGTTTTACAGTTTTAGAAAAAAACCCACATAGAGTATACAAACAAATGATTTTATATAAAAATTTAAACTAAAAGGGGTTGAAATTCTGGTTTTCTAAAGGGGAAATCAGACTATCATAAAAGTTAATAATTAACGGAGTCAAAAAGATAAACACATGCTCTTCTAGGACCAGACCCAGCCCAGCCCATCCAAGGGTCCAATCAGGCAGCTACTCGCTCGGCTACAGGCCTGCTACACATCTGCTGCCCCCTCCGCCATCCCCCACCAGCGGCAGCAGCGGGAAACCAAACCTAAAATCATTGCCGAAACGGAGGGAAACCAAGAACCCTTCCCTCCGACCCCGGCCAACCTCCGTCCCACACTGCTGCCACGCGCCACCAGCCCTGCATTTCACGTCCCCAAGGCCATTCCCCAGTCCTTATCCTCTCGACCCCTTCATCTGCCGGCCTGGTTTCTCCGCTGCGGTGAAGCTGGAAATGGGCGTGGCCGCCTCTTCTGCCAGGTCCTCTTTGCTCACTCATGCGTGCTCTTTACATGGATTACTTTCCTCATTTCTCCTGTGCAAAATAATTTCAGTTTCGGGTGTCGATTTGGGTGGGTTAATTTGTCCGCAGTGCTTGTTAGTTTAGTTTGTCCTGTGGACTGCAGCGGACGGCCAGTTGTCCAGGAATTTTAGGATTTTTATGCATCCTAGTGTTCTAGTGACACCATTGCCACTTGGCGTATCAGAGTTATGCTATGTGCTCGAGGCAGGGCGGTTCGGGGAGAAAGGGGGGGGGCGTATGCTTGAGGGTCGGCAAGATGAAAGATGATTGCGAATGCAGGAAAAATGATGATCGCTGCTTTCACTACCATAGTGGCATAGTAGTCTCTAAAATTTTAAAGTACCACCGAATGATGCAAAACTATTATTTGGCTAGTGCTGTTCTTAGTACCTTGCCAATATCCATATGTTGATGTCAATACGTCCTTAATATCTTTGTGATTTCGCTGACCAAGCTTCAACATATGGCCTACTTTAGGCTATCCGACAATGGTTTGAGGCCAGTTATGAAGAACTAAACAAAAGTACCCAAAAGTAGTTGCATTTATTGTGACAATTCTGAGTCTAGACTCTAGAGTGGTCAGTGTTAAACTTGATTCTTGGTGCATCATTTTTGCTATTTTGCTCAATTTATTAACACCAAACAGAGAAAATCGGAAGTAAAGTAAGATGCAGTGTTGCTTGCATAATGACAACAACAAAATCTGTGGAGAAGCCAACAAGTTTTGTCCTCTTTATTACAACCAAACATGGCAGAGCCTGTTGTATAGAGACTTATAGCCTTATAGGCGTATAGAGACTTATAGCCTTATAGGCATCTTTTGTGGAGCTAAATATGTTGACTGAAAATCTCATTGTGCTAGCCATTATTGATGTACTACAGTGAAATAACTTATGATTGACAAGTGTATGACGCAGACTGGGTGACAACGACCATGGAAATACATCACAAGATAATCATTTGGGATCCAATGATCGAGATAGCGAAGGGCCAATTGATACTCTTTCCGTGCCAAATACAGAACAAACAATAGAGAAAGGAGGAAATGCACAAGCTATCCGTGATTCAGAACAGATGGAAAAGAAGAGAAGGGCTATTGAGCGTATAGTTGCATGGTTCAGTGAAGCTGGGATTCCTTTTAATACTGCTCGTATAGAGTTTTGACTTAATGTTAGAAGCAACTGCACAATGTCGCCCTGGTTTACAGGTACGCTCTCTGGATGAGCTTGATGGCCCGCTTCGGAGGCAACTTTTTGCAATCAATGGTTCCATTGAAGCACTGAAAAAATACTGGATGTCCGAAGGATGCTCTATTCTGGCTTATATAGATCTTGGTGATGATGGAAGATGGATGTTAAACTTGGCAGTTGATTGTTCTCATGGTGTGTCATTCCTTCGTTCCATCGAACTACCTTCAGGCAGCTACGACCAAGCATTTGTTTGCCGACTAGTTGATTCTTGTATTGAAGAAATTGGAGAGAAAATTGTGGTGCAAGTCATTGGGGACGTTGGTATAGAGAAGACTGGAGCAAATCTGCCTCGAAAGAGACCGAACATATTTTGGACTCAGTGTGCTGCAAGTTCCATTGATTTGATGCTTGAAGACATAGGGCATATTTGTTTAATCAAGAAAACAATCGCTAAATCAAGATCACTCACAGCTTTTATTTATGCACAGACAAATTTGCTGGACATGACCCGCAAGTTCACCAACCAGCAGGATTTGGTTCATGTTGGGATAACCTATTACACCACTTGCTGCTTGAACTTGAGGAGCCTTTATGATAAAAGGATTGAATTGAAGACTATGTTTATTTCTAAAGAATGGGAGGACAGCAAGTGGTCAAAGGAAGCAGTGGGCAAGAAATTCTATAATTTAGTAGTGAGCAATGAGTTTTGGCATAATGTGCTATATGCTATAAATAGTTTTGAACCACTAGTGGAGGTTCTGAGGAGGATGGGGAGTGGCAGACGCTCTATGGGATACATATATGGTGAACTTATGAACGCTAAAAAGGAAATTGCCTTTCGCTTTGAAAACAAGGAAGAGCACTATTTGCCAGTATGGCACCATATAGATTTTAGAATAAATTTGTACATGATGAAACCATTGCACTTAGCTGCTTATTATTTGAATCCTTGGTTCTACTATCAAAACAGACATGAAATTGAAAATACAGAAATATTTAGAGATGCACTTTTTGAGTGTGCATGTAAGATGTACCAAGATGAGTCTACACAAGAGAAAATTGTGCATCAATTGAAGCTTTACAGCACTGATTCACAGAGTTTTGGAATGGTTCATGCCTTTAGTACTCGGATGGATGTTCACCCAGGTAACTTTCTTGCAGGACAGAACATCTTGGCATTTTTTTAATTTGTTTGTCAAGGTTCACAGTGTAGTCTTCTTTAGTATGATATACAAGCTAACTCTTGTCCTATATGTAGTTTCCTGGTGGCAATTACATGATGGTACAGCAAAGGAGTTGAGTACTATGGCACTGAGGATACCATGGTTAACCTGTGGCTCACTGGCCTACGAGCCAAGTTGGATTGAAATGGTAACATAGTGAGAAGCTAGTTTCAAACATTCATCCATCAGTTCTTCAACTTATCATAATTTCATTTGTGTAACTCAGACATTTTTTAAAAGGCTAATAAGAAATTCTGTTACACTATTCTCTGTTCCTTTTCAGATCCATAAAGAAAAGCCATCTTGGATTAAAAAATTTCAATTTGAGGATTCAATGTTTGTGACCGTCAACAGAAGGATACAAGGGAAAGCTCAAATGAGAGATAGAGATCATGTACTTGCGTACCTTCACCGTGATGACGAACCATTTGAATGGCTGGTGGGCATGTTTCCCTATGAGGCCCAACGACAGGATAATTGGGATTTGCTGATGGCACGAGCGAGAAGCGGAGATGGAGTAGGTCTAGCGAAGCTGGCAAATAAATTATTTATCGAGGCAGAGTATGTGGCATCCGATGAAGAAAGTGATGAAGAAGCACCATGTCAGTCTATCAAAAGGAAGACGTTGTCTGGTGCTTCATGCTCAAAACGAGAGAAGAGGCCACGGCTGGTCAAAGGTAATCTGAAAGATGATGAGTCCGAGGGAAGTGATGGAAACATCAGCTACTAATCTCTGGCGATATTCAATGGCCTTGTATGTATCAGCTTAAAAGGATGATGCATGGTTTGGTATGTTTTTGTGGTCTGTGAACTCTTAGGCGTTGCTGGCTTTAGGAGTTTGGAACTCTGTTACTTTCGTTACTTTCGTTGGGTGATGTTTGTCTGAAATCTGAATGCTTGCAGTTAGATTTGGTTATTGCATTCATGATTATTATGCTTTCGTTAGAAATAGAAATAGTAGCTCCAAACTTCTGAAACGTGAGAATGTATTATAGATTACAGTAGCGAAAATGAAACCACCAGTTTCCAAATTAGAGAAAAGAAGCTTTGGACATGGTTTCATTTGCTAAAAAAGCAAAGTGGGATAGCCAAATTAATCACGGAAGTTTGGTGGGAGGGATGCCTAATTTGGCCCCTGATGTTGCGGTTTGACCAACCCAGTCCTTGAACTATTTATCATCTTTGATGAAAGAAAAAGAGAATAGTCCATATGCTGGCAGCTGGCGTTGACTCTTTTCTTGCTCCTGTGGAGTCAATTCAGAGCCTGGAAAATTTGAAGAATAGTCCTTGAGCTTACATATTCTATATTGAATGGGCATTTGAAGAAAATTTGACGAAAGTTCAAATCTGTCTTGGCCACAAGCTCAATCACCCTTGCACTGTTGCACCATGGGCCCTTGACTAGAGGGAACCCTGTAGCCTTCCCTAGTGGTAGTCGGACCAGCGGCACCTCCATTGCAAAGGGTCCACCCCTAGAAGCACCTGATGTGTGCTACCTTTGAACCACAAGAGATTCCCCCAACCGGACATTCTCTGAAAGTACAAATCAAATACAAACCCTAGGCAAGATCCACAGGCAAACCCACGCGGGAAATGAGTTTGTGAGCTGAGGGCGCATTGGCGTACCTTGCATCTGGCGTGGGACACAAGTTCAGCGATGGAGGAAGAGGTCGATGACGGCGACTGGCGGCTGGGGGCACGGGACAACGATGTGAACGAGGCCTCCACGCTCCACCGAATGGATTAGGCACGAGAGAGACAAGGACCGTGCCGGTTAGTGTTGCTGAGGGTAAGGGCAGCTTCATCTTTTTGCAAGCCGCCTCCATGCTGGCATCGTGACCTAGCACACCACACACGCAAAAAAGCCTGTTTTTGGCAAACTTGTAAGATTTCTTCTGTATCCGGTGGTAAATTTGTAAGAATTTTTAGGAGGGTGCTATTTGAATGTGTGCCATCCAAGAGACTAGCCAAAAAATATAACAGCCCATGGTGCGGCCCCCTAGCAGCGGTCCCTCATGGGCGCAGTTGTGGCCCCAGGGGGCGGCCCTTGGCCCTCATCCCTTCCGGCGGCCCCTTCAACATGGACCACGTGACACCTTGGTGGCGCATTGGGTGCGACCAATAGTTATGGTGGTGCCCCACGGCTATGGTCCCACCACACTAGTGCAGCGCCGTCGTCCATGGCAGCTGGCTCTCCTCCACGACAGTGAGCTCGGGAGCACCAAGGGTGGCGGCAGATCTAGTCGACAGCGGCAACATTCAGTGGCAGCATTGTGATGTCGTGGTGTAGCACCCGGTTTTAAGGACAAAACCAGATATATATCATATGTGAGCCCAGAAAGTCCAATCTCACATATAGCTACAAATGAAGGTAATATCATACCTATCAAAGCCCATCTTGCTTCATAAAGGTAACCACTAACAAGCTAGAAAAGGTCCTCATATTGAGCTAAAGCCAGAGCCATGTAGCCCTCACAACTGTACTATAAGTCCCGGATTTTCGCTTATAGATAAGTCCTTAGGGAGAAGAATCTAGAGCACCATAGAAATAACCCAATGCTCTAGCCCCCTTGTTCCATGTCGCTAAAAAGCATCTTTTAATGTTTATTGCATATACCATTAGTGAAGTTACAAGATCATGGCTTTAGTTGAGCACTAGCATCATACTACCCAATGCAATAATCCATAGGAATCAAGGAATCCAGGATATCAAATAGCTAGGAAAATTACTATGGTTGCCAAGGTTGACACATGCATATGATTAAAATGATATTAAGGTGAATAGGACAATAAGGAAGATCCCATGCTATACTTGCTTTAAACTCAGATCCTTCTTCTAGTCCAAGCCTTCAAAGATCTGCTTCTTGATTTACCACGTATAGCTCAACGACTGGACATGATCATAAAGCACCACACAAGCATCCATGCAATCATACACGAAGCAAACAATAAAACTAAATTAGAACAGTATAGCAAAAATAAAATCCAAAGAATAATATGTATTCTGCTAATACGCTTTGGACTACGTGTTCGATAATCAAAAACCTGAGTGGTTCTTTAGCAAAAATATAGGGACGGCGGGTTCAAAAATAGAAAAGTAAAGGGACACTTTAGCAAGATGGCCTATGAAGGGGTATCTTCTAATCTAGACCGTGAATCCTAGATCGGACAGCTATCGATGGTTGGGAGGATTTCTCCGGCTAGCATAGTAACTCCGGCAGGGTGGTGGCCATCGCCAGCGATGAGGAGCTCACCTAGGGTCTTTGGAAGCGGGGATCAAGGTGAGCTCACCTAGGGTCTTTGGAAGCAGTGGCCGGCGCCAATGGTATAGCTAGGCAAGCAAGGTGGCTGCTCTAGGGTCAAGGGAGGGCAGCACGAGCTCGGGACCTTATTTATGGGGGTCCAGGCGTGGGGGACAAGCCATATCCCAGGAAGAGTGGGGTGTGCGGTGACGGGTTCCCGGACAGAGTCCGCTACGGGCACGGCCGGAGGAATGGGAAGGCGCTGACGCACGGGGCCGCTTTGTCAGTGGGACAGAGGGAGGAGGAAGACACGGGCTTCGCTGCTGGGCCGGGTCGCTGTAGGTCCACGCGGGAGAGGGTAGTGTTGGAGCAGGCCGAAGGAGAGGAAAGGTGGCGCGTCCACGCGGTCGACCTGGGCCGGCCTGCAAGGCTACTTGCTTGGGCCTACGCGTGGGAATGGAGTAAGCGAGCCACGGGGTTGGGAGGAAGGGAGCTGGTCTAAAAAGGGAGAGAGGAGAGAGCTGGGTCATCGGGCCAGAAGAGGAGGGGGAAGCTTTCTCCATTTCTTTTTGTTTTTCTTTTACTTCAAAACCCTTTTCAAATCCATTCAAAGCAATTTGAATCATTTTTTGAATTTTGTACAAAGCCACACATCTCAATAAATCAATGCAAAGGCATGTATGCTCAACAATGCTGCTACACCCTATAATAAATTTTAATTTAACAAAAAATATTTATTTTCCTATATTTCATGAGCACAAAAATTCAAAATAAAACCATTTTAACTCTATTTAACAAGGAGCAAATTTTAAGGGTGTTACAATTCTACCCCCTTAAGATGAATCTCGTCCTCAAGATTCGAACGATGGTGATCAAAGAGATATGGATACTCTGCCTTTGAAAACTTCTTCACTTCCTCGAGTAATCCAATCCTGGAGCATGTGGGTTATGGGCCACCATGCCTCCACCACGTCACTTTGATAACCTTACTCAAAGTAACTTGCTTAACTAATTTCCAAGATTTTGAAGGGTACTTTAAACAATTCTTTTGTAACTCCAATCACGAGGCCACCTTTCCTATAATACCAATTATCTTTCTTAAAATATCCACCTTCCAACGGAGCCTTTTCACTTTTTTGGTCAGAAAGAGAATCTACCACAAATCTTCAAAACATTAATGATTCCGGTTAAGTTGCTCAACTCTCAAACATAATTCTAAGTCCACATAGAACCAACTATAGATGTCTCATATCTCCTTCCCAAGGTGTTTGTTCCTCTACATTGCCATCTGAAAACTCACAGTCCACTTTACTATCCTCACAGGACACACCTTCTAATAGGTCATTTTCGTCTTCCTCAGGTGCAGGTTGAATACCCTCATACTCAATTCTTTCTCCTAACGGTGTTGTTAGTAGCACTGAACGTTAAGCATACTTAATTACTCCTTTACAAGCAGATAACCATCCCTTTCTAAGGATAACATCAATGTCCATTGACTCCAAAACTATAAGGTTTGCCTCGAAGTTCTTCCCTTTTATGTTAAGACTAACTTTTGGGCATATGCGGTTTGCCTTCTTTTCTCCTCCTAGAGAGTTAACTATTAGGGGTTTCCTCATCGAAAGCATAGTTATCTTATATTCTTCCACATATTCCCTAGAGATGAATGAATGTGACGCACTGGGGTCAAACAACACCATAGCAGTGTCTAAGCTTACTGCAATCAAACCATAAATGACCTCCTTAGCTCCATGAGTGGTAATCAGATCCACATTGTTCAACCTGCCTTGAATGTAGTTTCACTTTAACTTATTGCCTTGCACCTGCTCCTTATGAACATTCTATTCTGGATCCTACTGCTATTGATTCTGGCTTTGATTACTCTCAGCAAACTTCTCAAGACAATCGTTCTTATAGGGTTCAATCTCACCGTAATCATAACCTTCATTTCTAGTAGAAGTATTTGTCGTTATCACGGTGATAGTGGGAGATGACAGACATGGCTCTCGAGATCTAAAATGTTGCACTTCATCATTAGGTTGATGATACTGATCTTGATCATTACTTCCAAGCAGATTCATAGGGTGTGACTGATATTCTGGTTGTGTAGCAAAACAGAGACGAGTATTTATTAACTGGCGTTGAAGGCCACGCTTTCTCTTCTTCTCTTCCATCTCTCGATGCTTGTTCTCAATTACAATTGCTCTATCCACCAATGTTTGATAGTCGGCATACACCACGGTCATTAGCTGTAGTTGCAAACCATCATTCAGTCCTTTCAAAAAATGTTTTTGCTTCTTAGCATCACTATCCACCTCTTTTGCAGCATAGCATGACAATTGAGTGAACCAGTTATGATACTCACACATTGACATAGATCCTTGCTTCAAGTTGAGGAACTCTTTTTGCTTAAGTTCTACCTCACCTAACGGGATATGGTAGAACCTAAAATTCTCCTTGAATTCCTGCCAAGTGATAGCAGGAGCATTGT